TAAAGTATACAGATGTCCTCCTTAACTAAAGGTAACATATTACCTCCACTGCATTTCTTGGTGGAGGTAAGATTGGTTAACATAGTAGACTCAAAACCAAATCAACATATTTAAATATCTTTTAACAGGATATTGAATCCAATAAAAACTACCCTCTCCCAGCCAAATAATAAACAAATTCACAACAGTCAATGTGAGAGCAAGACAATATTACGCAAAAGATGGCGCCAAATTTCTAATACTTACAGCACCCAATCTTGCTTTTCCCTTTACAATACAATAAGGAATTTCCATTTTCCTGCACAAAGCTGGAAGCCAGACAACCAGCTCAATAGGATCCACATCATGGGCAATAACTACCAATTGAGCTTTATTCTGAAATTACAAAAATGAACATGTCATATGAGATGCTAAATTTAAAAATATTAATGGGAAAAACAAATCTGACAATTCTAGAAGCAAAACCTGCTCAATAAGGTAGGTGACATGCTTGAGCCCATACTTGACAACAATGGGCTTCTTCAGTTCAGGAACCTTTCCCTCACTCTCAGCCTGTGCCCTCTTAAGAAGTCGTTCCTTCTTGGCCGCCTTATCCTCGGGCCTGTATTTGAGGAGCACCTTGAAGAGGTTTGTCGCTGAAATGTATGAGAGATCACATAATTTATTATTCAAATCAAATACTCCCAATGTTTCACAATTCTAGTATCATTCACTGTTTGCAAAATCATACCATGTCGTCTTTCATTGCATGTTTAATTAAATTACTTGTTAAAACAAATAAATTTTACGCATAAACATAGCAGATTTAAATTTTATACGATAATTAAATAAAATACTCCCTCCGTCCATGTATGATCTTCCCATTACGCGTTACGAGGCTTGACCGACTTTATTTTCAATTCAATTTAATTGATTATAGGAGTAAAATTTTAAAATAAAATTTATATAGTAATAAACTACATGAAAAGTTCTACAAAACTAGAGGTGACACGACTATATTATTTTATGAAATGACTAAAATTGAGTAAATAAAGTGAGTAAAATTTGACCCTGTGGTGGGCGGAGTAATAGAAATGAAGATTCATATTCATTCTAAGATCTTAAATCGAAAAGGGAAAAACGAGTACATTTCGACATGATACTGATCAACGTATAATGCAAAAAAAATAATTAAATACACAATAAATTAATGACAATGAGTCAAAAAGAAGCATTCAAATTCAACATCTGAAACGCATCATAAAGAAGGAATCGGCTGACCTAGGTTCTTGTCGAGGGTCTTAGAGAACTGGTTGATAGCTGGAGGGACCTTCAAACGCTGCTTGAGGATCCTCCTCTTCCTCTGAATGTTAACGACTTGCGGCCATTTGACGAATCTGGAGAGATCCCTCTTCGGCGGCAATGCCCCTCCGATCCCGAACTGCTTTGGCCGCTTCTCGAAGAGAGGGTTCACCACCTTCTCCGTCTTCTTCGGTGCAACCGCCGCCGGAGGTCTAGCGCCTTTCTTCGGAGCCATTTTCACTTCCTTAAGCCCGCCGAAACCCTAGAGCAGTCTGTGCTGAACGAAGCTAAGCTTTATATACTGCTAACCCTACGAATTAACACGATCCAGAATTGTTCGGCCTGACCCAAAATATAATCGGCCCACGCTTATAAAATGGGAGTAGTTTCAAAAGAGCAATGGGCTTTTACTAGGCAGGTCTAGAATAGAAATGTTGCAAACAGATATGGGTTCTATTTTTTATAATTGAATAGGGTGGCTTGGCGATCCAGATACCTTGGCGAGAGATGTCGGCCCTGTTTGGCATCAGTATTAGAAATAAGCGTTAACATTTTGAAAAGACTATCCGACGATGAGCATGTTTGGGAATAACGTTAGAGAATAGCATTAGCATTTTGAATAAAATTTTAACGGTGCAGATTACTTTCAAAACGCTAAACGCTGCTCGTAAATGACCTTTTCAAAACGCTAACGCTGTTTTCAAACAGGCCCGATATTCTTTAACGTTTTTGTAATTAATTTACATCATTAAAATTTTATCCAACTAACGCTAATTTAAAACGTAGTTCCCAAACAAGGCCGTCATTGTCTGTCAGGAGATGTGTGATGTGTTTCCATCTAACTTTGGGATCCCGTCTTTGAGCTCATAATAATAATTTTTTGTTATCATAAAAAAAACTCTACGATGGTTGTAATAATAAACCCAGAAAAAATAACATTAACACGCTATATCGGTACCACATTTAAATTTTAATCCTCTCAACATTTTAAAATGTGTTCTTGTAACATGGTGTCACACACATGCATATATACATAAGGGTGGAGGGGGCTCAAGTATTCAATTTTTTGAAATTTTGTAACCTCAAGACTACCCAAATACTCAAGTATTCAGGTTTGCAAGGAGGGGCCTCCACCAAGTTCTCAAAGTACTCGTCATATTTTTTTAATTAAAAAATTAAATACATCTCATTAATTCAAAAACAACTTATATTTCATTAGTTTAAAAAATAAAATACATCTTATTAATTCAAAAACTAAATATATTTTATTAGTTACTCCGTAAAAAAATAAATTCCATCTTTTTACTAAAAAATCAGTTTTTAAGTTATAAAATATGTTCCATCTATTTCCTAAAAAATAATTTAATTATTTTCAAAAACAAAACAAAATGCGTACATTTTAATGTATAAAAACAGACTATACATTACATTAGTAAAAAACAAAATACTCCGTACATTTCTTTAATTAATGTAACAAAGAATATTTTACTAAATAAAAAAAGGAAATATATCTACAATTTAAAAATACACAACCTAAATAAAAATACGCATCTTTAAAAAAAATCTTTGTCTGAATCATTGTTATTCCACTTTGTAACGTAGCAGCGTGTTTGACAAAATCATATCAAAGTCTAAAATGTGTATTTTTAAGACGCAAGTCATAAATTACAATCTCGTCGACGACTCTAGAGGGACCAACACGGAATCGCGTGGTATTGCATTTTCATCATGCTTTAAGATGGTATTATGCAATATGATACATGTGCACATCAAATTCTGTATTTTCTCACACTTCATTGCTCGTCGTGGTCGATTCATTACACCTCATCTGTCTTTTAAAAATTAAAATTGTTTGACATCTTTTCTTGCTGGAAAAGATTTTCTATTTGGTTCGACGGGCCATGGAAAAGATTTCACAAAACAGATCAAGTTGGATAAATCTCATCAGGAAGACAGTGGCCACGTTTGTATTGGCGGTGGTTGACTTGGAAAGGACACCTTGGGTCGGTTCCATGTATTTCATTGTTGAACAATTGGGATTGGTTGAGAACATTGATGTCGTTATTTGATCTTGTCGGACTATAGTACGCATGCCAAAACTTTAAAAAAACAAATGCTTATTTAAGTAGTAAAAATGCTTATTTTGTTCATATGTAGGTTTGTGATGGATCTTAAGTCCACCATAGAATTTGTCTACTTCCTTCGTCATAGAGTATTTGTCCAGTTTGACACTGGACAAACTATAATCTTCAATTACTCTCAATTCATAATTTGTATTAGGAAAAATTACCCAAAATAATCTCAACTTTACCCGCTATTTTAAAAATAATTCCACATTTCATTGTGATGCATAATAATCACAACTTTACTAAAATTTGCCAGTTTTGGGTCACCGTTAAATTTCTAATGGAGGGTTAACGGAAATGCTCATTTTAGGCAACAAAATGAAAGTTGGGATTATTTTTGATGAATTTTTATTTTTTTAATTTTTTTTAAATTTTTCCCATCAACGTTTTTTTTCCTTTTTTGAAGTTTAGTCTTAGTTTAAAAAATAAAAATAATAGATATAAAAAATGAAAAAAATGAGAAATGTAACTAAAATGATACAAAAATAATAAAATAAATAAGATAATCAATGGAAACTAACTAGAAATTGGTAAAAGTAAAATAAAAATACATGGGTGGGTTTTAATATTTTACGCATTATACAAAGTATTAACATATCACTTCTTATTTTTTAGAAAAAATTATCTACAATAATTCAAATTTTACCAGAAGGCTTGTTCTTTTAAAAAATAAGTAGTACATTAAGATTCTGTATAGTGTGTAAAATGTTAAAATCCACCACTCCGTATATATTTATTTTATTTCTTACCAGTTTCTATTTAATTTCTATTGATTACATTATTTATTTGATTAATTTTGCATGGTTTTAGTTATTTTTCTCATTTTCATTATTTTTTATATCTATTTTCTTCTAAGGTAAGAATAATATTTAAAAAAGAAAAAGAAATGGAGGTTGAAAGTAATTCAAAAAATTTAAATAAAAATTTCAAAAAAAAAAAAATAAAAAACAAAAATTCATCAAAAATAATCCCAACTTTTATTTTGTTGCCTAAAATGGGCATTTCCGTTAATCCTCCGTTAGAAACTTAACGGCGACCCAAAACTGACAAATTTCAGTAAAGTTGGGATTATTATACATCACATTGAAAGGTGAGATTATTTTTGAAAGACCGGGTAAAGTTGAGATTATTTTGGGTAATTTTTCCTTTGTATTATAACAATGAAATAGAATTTTGAAAATTCTAAAAGAGTTAAATATAATCAAACTATTTTTAGTGGTACACGGAAATGACGGAATTGAAAGTTGAAATTCTAAGAATTGATTTGGATGGAATTCTCGAAATTTCAATTTATTTGTGGCACTACTAATTTCAAATCGACATATTTTTGTAGTATCAAACAACAGAGTTGGAATTATTGTCCTTAATTCCAATTCCATAGTTTAAATTCTGTATACCAAACAAAGCCTTTTACTAATATATATTGTACTTCTTAGTGTATGTTTGTGAATAACCTTAGAGATTAGAGTTAGTCTTTCATATAAAATTTTACAGGTTACTGTGAAAATGCTAGCGCTAAACGCTGTCCGTAGATAATTTTTTTAAAAATATTAACGTTAATTTCTAACGTTATTACTAAACAGGCAAACCAAACTATCAAATCAGATAGACTTTAATATAATCAAATAAGATGAACAATTATATTCAATATATTTAGTTAAGTTCATTATTTACAAAATTTGCCACCCCCTACTCTCTTTATATCCATCGTCGAACTGGCACAGAGGAAAGTGATCCGCCTGAGGAGAACCAGTGCAAGTCGGAGAAGGAGCACTGGTAGGTTTTCCCGGTCTGTCTGCACTTTGATTTGGCAAAATTTTTTCTTCCACAAAAGAGTAGTATTGAAGTGATTTGGGCTTAAGACCCGCCATAGCGAAACAACATTTACAATTACATGCCTCATGACTTCCCACGCACGTTTTTGGGAAGACGAAGAATTGAATTCAAATTGATTCATATGCTTCAGGACCTGGAGCAGAGATCCGTTAAAACGGAAACGGAGTAATTGAATTGATTTCATATGATTTGAGCTCGGATTTGTTACAGCAACCAAATCAGGCCCGGAAGCCGGGAACTATACAGTTTATCTGCAGATCAGATTATCGACGCAGCTTCATAGCTCCCTTTCATCTCCATCTCTGCCATCTTCGTTTTCCGCCACTCAGTAGTTTTTCTTACAAAAATAATAAAGGAATTTGCATCGGCTTGGAAACGGGAAAGGGGAACGGCTGTCGGAGTTTATGAGCTGAGATATCACATTATGGATAACAAAAAAGTAGTCGTATGCGACAATGGCACTGGGGTAATCATCTTACACTTCTTTGATGCAGTGGTCTTTCTTTTTATTACTTCAACTCTTACATTACGTTCAATGACCTCAAATGGCTTGAATAAGAATTGGTTGCATACATTACCTTGTTTGTTTAATTAGCTTATTATCTGCACTTTGGTTGAAATCCTATACCTGAAATAATTTGTAGCTTCACTGGATCACCACAATCCTTTTGAAAGGGGGTAATATCATATCCTTAAAACATACTCCCTCCATTCACATTTGCGTGATCATTATGTTTTTTGTGATACATCAAAAGTTGAATGAATATGATTATAAATCATGTCTACATTCATTCAACTTTTGATGTATCTCAAAAATCATAATAGTCGGTTATATGTGAATAGATGGAGTAATAGACCGTATGATTAACGTGTTGTATAATTCTCACACATTGTTGTTGATTTATAATTTCTAGGGTATTACAGAAACAAGTTCTCTAAATTTATAGGTAGGGATAATGTCCACGTACATCTATATCCTCCCAAGTCCCCCTCTTGACCTTCCTGGATTGTTTTTTAATGATTAGTATGTATATGTCGGGTTTTTGTTTTCATTCTGAGGAATGGTTAGTCACTCCGAATACCTTTATGTGAATGTAAATGCAGTATGTCAAGTGTGGCTTTGCGAATGAGAATTTCCCCACATCGGTTTTCCCTTGTGTGGTCGGACGGCCGATGCTACGATATGAAGAATCCCTTATGGAGCAAGACATCAAGGTAACTATTATTTCTCATATTTGTAATCTTCGGGTCTTTAAAATTTTAAATGGTTGTATCCAACTTTTTGATTGCAAATTGTTAGTATATCCGCCTCCAAAAAACCATTACTTTCACCAATGTACTACTTTTTCCCTAGTAATATAAACCTTTACTGGAGGTTACCCTCACAAACAGGAGTACATTTTTTAATCACCATCAGTGTTACTATAGTAGTATAGTACCGTTCTTCCTCTACTAATGTAGGATACCATTGTTGGAGATGCCTGCTTAAAGTTGCGACACCAATTGGATATATCTTATCCTGTCAACAATGGCATTGTGCAAAACTGGGATGATATGGAACATGTCTGGGACCATGCATTTTTCAATGAACTGAAGGTAGCTATTCTTGATTTCAATGTAAATGAATGTTTTTCGAATGAAATAACTCTGTGCTTCAAAAATAGATGCTACGTAATGGCGTTTACTGTTAACTGATAGGGTTTTACTATTCAACCTGTGTCTCTTAGGTTGATCCAACAGAATGTAAAATCTTGCTCACAGATCCACCTCTCAATCCATCGAAAAACCGTGAAAAGATGGTTTGTGTTATACTTTCTCATTTTGATTCAAGATGGAATCTTTCCTTAATGATGCATGACTCTCGCTCTGGAACCATTTGAATTACAGGTTGAAACCATGTTTGAGAAATACAACTTTGCTGGTCTCTTCATTCAGATTCAAGCTGTTCTAACTTTATATGCGCAAGGTGCTTAATTTAAACAATGAATATCTAAAAATATTGTTCTTCTTTGCCTTTGGGGGGTGGGGGGGTCTCCCAGAAGCAACATCTCTACCTTTCCTAGTTAGGGGTAAGGTCAGCGTATGCCCAACCCTCCCAGACCCCCTTCGTGTGATTTACTTGGTTGGTTATTTTTGTATAAACGAGAGAGTTCGTGCTTATATAAACAAGAGAGTTTGATTTTTACCAATAAGATAACCCTTTTCACGGTATCTATCAACTCAGTATACTCTGCTTGTAAAGTTCTCAACCGTATGATTGATTAACATTCTGTGTTATCACTGGTACAGGTTTGCTAACAGGACTAGTCATAGATTCGGGTGATGGTGTGACTCATGTGGTAAATTATTCTATCATTTCTGACATTTTGTATTTGATTTGTCTTTAAGAACAAATCTTAATGTGATTAATGTTTATTGGTAAATAATGCTAGTTTAGCCTTCTTGTATGGACATTGTTATTGCAGGTTCCAGTTGTTGATGGTTATTCATTTCCTCATCTTACAAAAAGAATGAATATAGCTGGGCGTCATGTAACTTCTTATCTAGTTGATTTGCTACTCCGAAGAGGGTAAAAGAATCAATATATTTGTTTTCTGGATGGCTCTTCTAAGTCATAATGTCACAAATCTTATCATTGAAGGTATGCGATGAATAGAAGTGCCGATTTTGAGACTGTCAGAGATATTAAAGAAAAGCTCTGCTACATCAGGTGAACTGACTAATGCCATAGCGAATTAATCATATTTTCCATTCCTCCTCATTTTAATCAAAATATTAAAATTATTTTACTGCAGTTATGATTATAAACGAGAATATCAACTGGGTCTTGAGACAACAATCCTTGTTAAGAATTACACTGTGAGTAGATTTATTTTGAACATTAAGTCGTGCATGGGAAAGCCTTCTTTATTTACTACAACTGGCTTGCTGCAAATAGTAATGAAAACTTAAATTTAGGCAGCAATTTTGTATATTACTAGTAATTTTATATATTTTTCCATCATCTCCGATGGAGTCAAAATTTCACCATTTTTGGCTTTGGGGTGTGATGGAATAAATCAAAATGGATCTCTAAACTATCTGCGCTTCTTTAATTAATGAAGTAGCAGTTAGTCAAACACTGCAACTTTCGATGTTGAGCCGGGGGTCTCTTTGGAAACAGCCTCTCTACTTTCGAGTAGGGGCAAGGTC